TAGATAGATAGATAGATAGATAGATAGATAGATAGATAGATAGATAGATAGATAGATAGATAGATAGATAGATAGATAGATCTATATTGGTAGGTAGGTAGGTAGACAGAAAGGCAGGCAGGTAGGTAGGTAGGCAGGAAGGCAGGCAGACAGACAGATAGACCTTTTAGAGGGATGTATGGATAGACAGACAGACAGACAGACAGAATGCGACAGCAGCAGCACTTTGGGAAAGTAGAGCAAAGCCAGAGTGGGAATTGAAGTCCACACAAGTTGCCAAGGTTGAGAAACAAGGACTGAATATATCAACCCAGCCATTCTGGTTAGAGTTTGATTCCAGCTTAGTCAATAAACCATGGCTAAGATCTTCCTGCTCCTTAATGCAGCTGCCCCTCTGCCCCTTCTGCAGCCCCCTGCTCCAGTTCTTTCTTTGGCATCCAATTTTGCAATGCTCTGCCCGGGAGCAGGAAGGCGTGCGGAAGCAGCCCAGACCAGCGGAGGTGGAGGGAACGATCACTTGGAAAGTAAGCAAGCAAGCAAGCAAGCAAGCGCAGGGCTCGGTCGGAAGAACTGGGCTGCAGAGGGAGGCTAGGTTCTAGGTCCGGGCTGGCCACATAGAGCCAAACCGAATCGATCCACGCGCCTTGGAGAGCCGCAGCTGCACCCCCCGCATCCTGCGCACAAGCCTGACTGGCTGGAGAGGCAGAGGCCAGGCGGGTGCTGCGCGCTCCCTTGTTCTCCTCTGGGGAAGAGGGTCCTTCCACCCACCCGTTCCCCTTGGAAGCGTTTTGCTTTCTGGCACGCCTCCGCTGCTTCCACCGGAGAGGGAAGCCTGCAAGCTAAGGCCCCTTTCCACCACCTCCCCCCCCCCCAGCTTGGCAAGGCTCGCCGCGCGGGGGTTTCAGATTCAAGGCGCCGTCTACAGAGCGATGAGTCAATGGGCTGCAGGGCCGGCAGTCAGTGAGCCTGCGGGGCCGGCTCCTGCCTCCCCTTAGCGCCCCCTGCTGGCCCGCTTGCCTCTTAGCACCCCCCAAGGCATCCCACCGCCCCCCAGGGGGCAGTACCGCCCACTTTGGGAACTACTGTGCTAAAAGAATGCAAATGACCAGCTGTCTGCAAGGAGTAAAAATCCTTCCATTCCCCACCATCCAGTCAGAGCTGAAGAAGCTTCTTGGATGAGAAGTGAAACTTCTTCAAAGAAAAACCCAAAAAGTCAGCTGCCTCTTCAAACAGCACCTTTGAGTCACAAAGTTTGAGGTTAGGACTTCATTTCCACCTAATGGTCAACTACCCATTTGCAGCCAAGATATAGGGGCAGACCAGTCAGTTTTCAATTTAAAGTTTCCCTCAAACACAATTTTCAATTACCTGTGATTTGAAGGATGTGTGGAGAAAATTTAGTTGGGGGCATTTTGAACTATACAAGAAACAGTAAGAGCTGGAAGCTGAAGACATCATGGTAGGAACAGAATCAATCTTGGTGAGAGGTAAAGCTCTGAATTGTCTCCTGATGCAAGCAACAAGAAGCTAAAAAACAGAGGCAAGAGACAACGCAGCAGGTTTCCTCTGGGATGTGGTTCTGTTTAGCCTGATTGTCCATCACTGTACAGGGGCTCCATTTCAGCAGTGACAAAGGAAGCGAGTAAGGCTTTCAGACTCTTTAGTCTCTTCCCCAAACCCCAAAAACTTTAACCTTAGACTGTCTACTATTGACCTCACCCCTTTCCTAAGAGGTCTGTAGGGGGCGTGCATAAGCGCACCAACGTGCCTACCGTCCCTGTCCTATTGTTTCTCTTATTCTTTTATTTTTCTTATATGTACCCATTTCATATATTCACAACTATGTATACACTTGTACTTATTATCTTGTAAACAATTGACAAATCAAATAAATAAAATAAATAAAATAAAAAAATAAAATGCTGGATAGCAGACATCTAGGGCCATTTCCTGGTGAAAAGACGTAGCTGCTGCAGCACCATGCTGTGGTTTATGCTGTGCAAGATTATATCTTGGTGCACACATAAATGCTAAACCTTTGTGTGCCAGCAACTGTGATTTAGCAGTACTGATAGCTTGTTCCACACTCTTTGGATAAAAACAAAATCAGACATAACATTTTATGCAATCTCATACTAAAAGCACATTCAGGATATATTGGCAATGCACTTTTAAGATACTTCTCTCCCATGCTCATGGCCGTTTAAGACTGGTTAAAAAAACCCTTCTGGCTGCAACCATTTTGCGACAGACTCTTACTTTCTAAATATTGAATAGCATTTAAATATTAAATATTTATATACCAACTAATAAATTATGTTATATATCAAATATTTTAATGTATGTATTTTAATAATATAGTTATCTTCCTTTCTATTTCATTAAATTTCAAGATGCATTGAGGAAAATTCAAATGGAATTTTAAAAAATTATGTGCTCTCATGTGGAACACAAAAGAAAATGCTTCTAGATTGAGTTATTTGAATATTTCCAAATAGGACGATGTGTTGACCAAAGAAAGAAAGCTTTTGCATAAATGATTGAAAGTCTAATCCTATTTGAATTTTAATATATGACTCAGAAAACTGGTTGTGAATATATACAGTAAAACTGCCCTTAATTTTTAAAATATAATTATAACTGACATTGCTAAAGCAATGACAATCTTATTCAATATTTGCAGCAGTTTGCTTTAAAATAAAGAAAAAGGATTCAGCCTAGAACCACACTGTTTGAGTTGCGCTGTCTTATAAATATGCTTTATGAACGCCTTATAAATTCTGCCTAAAGTAGTGAAACAGGTGGCAAATAAATTTAACAAATTAAATAAATAAATAAAATAAAGCAACTTTAAACCACTGAAGAAAAAAAAGAAAAGGAAGAAGTGAGGCTTGCTTTCCTCACTCACAGAACAGTTATCAAAAGTTTTGAAAATCACAGATTTCTACAGATTATAAAATAGAATTATATAAAATCAACTGACCCTTGTATTCCTTTTGTGAAATTCAGAAACCTAGTATTGAAAAACACTAAGGAAAAATGTTTTACATGTTTCTTAAATTGTAAGAAGTTATAGAATATTGGGGACTTCTGGATGGAGAAAAAGAAGGATTAACACATCGAATAGCAAAGACTCTGCAGTAATGGAGACTGGTGACCAGGAGGCAAACCCTAGCCAGCAGAGCTTCTTGGACAAGGAGAAGCTAGGAGATAGCCAACTTGGGCTTCAGGGGGCAGCTCTTTGTGAGGAAACCAGCAGAATTGAGAGGGCTCCTATTGATGACTTGTGCCAGGAACCAAAGGGATAAAAGTATTAAGTGCACAGCCTCATGCAGGCCTGCTTTTAAGGAACTCATCCAAAGCTATACTTTCTAATAATGCATGTTTGGATTACATTTTAAAACTTGCAAAGATATGAATTACAGACTTCAAGCAGCAGAGCAATTAAACCACATGGCGAGTATCCTTTGACTTGGCTTAGTATAAAAAGTAAAGAAATAACCATAAGGATTTAAAAATGATTAAAATCAAAAAAGCTTACCAAGAACTTGAACTAAGAAAGTTTAAAACAGATTAAGGGAAGAGCTGAAATTAATATTGTTTATTCTAAAGTACTTTTGGATTAATTTAATAAATAATGCATCCCTTCATAGGGATAAAGGTTGTTTGAATTTAATGTCATAGTTAAAAGCATTAAGTGCGTGATAAAATAGGTTAGGAATTTGAGTTATAATGTAGACCAATGGGCTATATAACAATTGAGTGAGTTCAGAGTTACAACAGCAATCATAATATGATTGACTTTTGTATTAATTTGTGACTTCCTGAACTGGATCTTAACAACTGTTCTTTGAATTATAATTTTAAAAAAGCAAACTATGATTTAATAGCTGCTGATCTAGCATCTCTAAATTGACACCATTTTCAGGTTGCAAAAATGTAGATTTTAATAACAATTTTTTTGCTTGAAATTAATTGAGCTATTAATTTATATGTACCAAGAAAAATAAAAAAAAGTTACAAAAAATAAATTACCCAAGGCAATAAGAAAGTTATAAGCTAAGAAAAAAAATATCTTTGGTGGAACAAGAAGACAGCTATGTTGCCAACTTCAAAAGCCGCTATAAAGCCTTATGTCATCAAATTAAAGATTATGATTATTTTTGTAAACAGGAGGAAAAGCTGTTAACATGAGCCTTTTATAATTTTGTTAATTTGAAACTTAAAGACTCACAAATGATTCCACCCTTAAAAAGGCTAAATGTGGTTGATTGTAATGATAATGCTGGTCAGGCCAATCTTTTCAATACATTTTTTTAGTTCAGTTTTTGTTGATAGCAATGGTTGCAGTCTTCATTCACAAGTCGTACCACAAATAATTGTAGCAAATTGCTAAATATTAAATTTACAGTACATAATGTTGAACTAGCATTATGTAATCTAAAGCCATTGCTATCCACTGGTCCAGATGGATTATGTGCTTTTTTCTTGAAAAAGCTTGCTACTGTCCTAGCTGAACATTTGTGTACAATTTTTAAAGTATTGTTTCAAACTAGCTCTCTGCCTGATTTATGGTCTTAGCTATAGCTATACCAATCTTTAAAAAGGGCGACCCTAGTTTAGTTGAAAATTATAGACCAATTTCTTTGTGTTGTGTTATATGCAAAGTTATGGGATCAATTATAAACCAATCCATTATTCATCATTTAGAGACAAATAACTGGCTATCTGATAAACAGTTTGGCTATAGGAAAAATTCATCCTGTAATTTACAACTTTTGCACTGTAAAAATATTTGGACTACATGTCTTGATCAAGATAAAGCTGTAGATGGAATTTACATAGATTTTTGTAAGGCTTTTGATACAGTAGTACATGATAAACTGCTGTTGAAAATAAATTCTTATGGCATTTCTGGATTTTTGCACAAGTGGATTGCTGCCTTCTTGTCTAACAGACTGCAGAAAGTCAAAATAGGTAACTTGCTGTCTAATCCTGCATCAGTCAACAGTGGTGTTCCGCAAGGCAGCATTTTAGGACCCATGTTTTTCCTGCTCTATATCAACGATTTATGTGATCAACTTAAAAGCAATTCTGTCCTTTTTGCTGATAACATAGCATTATTTAATACTACAGATAATTCTGTTGTTTTGCAAAGTGATCTTGATTATGTGTCTGAATGGTCATCTATTTGGCAACTTCAAATTTCTATTAATAAATGCTCTGTCTTACATATTGGTAAATGTAATCAGAATGTTAAGTATAAGTTTAGGTGATATTGATCTAGCAGATGACCCTCACTTTGTTAAAAACGTAGGTGTACCCATCTCTGACGACTTATGCTCCAAAGTTCATTGTAACAGCATTGCTAAAAAAGCACTACGATTTTTTAACTTAATTCTACAAAGTTTCTTTTCTGGAAACATAATATTGCTAACCAGAGCTTATAAAACTTATGCTAGACCAATCTTGGAGTACTGTTCAATTATTTGGAATCCCTACCATATATCTGATATTAGCACAAACAAGTGGGTTCAGAAGTACTTTACGAGGAAAGTTTTGAACTCTTCTGGACATAATCTATGCTACTAGGATCGAAATTCTTGGTTTGGATAACCTGGAACTGCGTCTCTTGCGATCGGAATTAGGTATTGCATACAAAATTGTATGTAGTAATGTTTTACCTGTAAATGATTTTTTTCTGTTTTAATCGCAATAATATGCACACAAATAACCATTTTAAACTCAATGTAAACTGTTCTAAACTTGACTATAAAAAATACAATGTTTGTAATAGAGTTGTGAAAATCTGGAATGTTCTACCTGATTCAGTTGTCTCAGCTACAAATTTTCAGTGTTTTAGTCACAAATTGACTTCTGTGGACCTCACTTCATATTTCAGAGGTCCGTAAAGGGGGTTAGTGCATATGTGCATTAACATGCTTATCATCCCTGTCATTTTATTTTTATATTATTTGTGTTTTTGTTTTTGTTTGAATAAATAAATAAATAAATAAAAATAAACATGGGCCAATGGAAGAAAATGTGGTTAGAAGGACTAAAATTCACATTGTATTACAATTTAAGCGAGAACGTTTATAGAATAATATGCCATTGGTATATGACAACAGAGAAATTATCTAAGATGTATAAAGGTACTTCTAATCAATACTGGACAGTTTACCATGCATGGGTAAACTGAAGAGCAGTGGTGGAATGCAGTATTGCAGGCTATTTCATCTCACTGCCAGGAGTTCAATCCTCACCGTGTCAGTCCTAGTTCCATCTTTAATGGGAGTCTTTAGGGCTGCAACAGCAATGGCTGGGCAAGCTGTGGGAACGGGAAGTGGGAGGTAGAGATAGTGTGGGGTGTGTAATCATAACAACATTCTTTCCCTTGGGAGTCAAGCAGAGGTGGTATTCAGCAGGTTCAAAACAGTTCTGGAGAACTGGTAGCGGAAATTTTGAGTAGTTCAGAGAACCGATAGCAGAAATTTTGACTGGTTTGAAATACCACCTCTGATTGACCCTTCCCCCATTTATTCTCTGCCTCCCGGGTCCCAGCTGATCGGCTGGGTCTTCTTTTGTTGCCCTGCACAGGAGAATGGAGCTGGAAAGCAGGTTAGTAGGGTGGGGAGAGAATGGGTATTTTACAGTATCCTTCCCCTGGAGTGGGGTGGGAATGGAGATTTTACAGTATCCTTCCCCTATCATGCCCACCAAGCAACACCACACCCACCAAGCCACGCCCACAGAATCGGTAGTAAAAAAATTTGAATCCCTCCACTGGAGTCAAGGATGTCTCACCAGCACCTGAGGAGGAATATCTGGAAGTTGGCTGAAGTTGGGACAATGATTGGATTGGACCATGCGACATAAATGTACCCTAACTCTGTAAACTGCTTAGAAGTGCTGCAAAGCACTGTGAGGTGGTACATAAGTCTAAGTGCTATTGCTAGTGCTATGGTGAACCTGCAAAAACCAAAAACAATTGGATACAAAATCACATGATGATACAAACAATTTTAAAAGCCAATATTCGGATGAAACCAGAATTTGTTAAATTGGGACTTATGGGTAACAATTTAGAAAAGACCTACGGAAGGCTGATTTTATATATGGTAACTGTAGCAAGACTATTATGCACAAAATTGGAAAAATAATGTAATATCCACAATGGAGGAGTAGATTGTTAAGATGGTAGAACTTGTGCAAATGGCAAAAATGATCTATTTCATCAGGAGTAAGACAATAAGTACTTTTATGAAGGGCTGGAAGAATGGAATCACTTATGGATTAGTTGATTAGAAAAGGATGAATATGGGTAGAAGAGAATCATGTAATTTTAAAGAGGGAGGAGAGATAATAAGTTTGTAACTGCTGTAATGATCAGAAGTCATTTCTTTATATATTTTCCTTTTTTCTATCTGCATTGTTTCTTATATTTTTTCTTTTCTTAATCTTACATTATATAATTTCACGTTTACCTTTTCCACATGTAAAATTATTTACTACTAATTATATACAATATAAAAAAGAATACTAGAATATAGGCATACATATTAATACTTACAAGTCTGAAAGTCATATATTAAATTCATTTTGGATTTTTTTCTTCAATTGATTGCAATTCTTTGCTCTCTATTATACATGGAATTTGTATGTACGACATGTACGTGAATGTAAGTGTGTAAAAAATGAGAAGGGACCAGCTGGGAAATAGGGCTACTTACCAGAGGAAAATCATCAGGATCAATCCAGACAATGCTTAGATCAGGATTATCAGTGTTGTCTTTGGCAACCTGCTTGACAATTTCCAGGAATTCGAAGCCATCTGAAAATATAATAACAGTTAAGCAATTACCTTGTGGATTGCTCTGCAGAAGAATACTTGGGTGTTTATAGTAATCAGACAAGAATAGCATATTCCAAGCAACTACAATCACATGAGAAAAAATTATTTTCAGTGTACCATTTCTCAGTCCCACCATTTCACTAGTGGTTCACTGTCTGCTTTTAAATTTGGATGGTACCTGCCAAGTCCTTTTTGCAGACACTAAACTGAGTTCAGCCTACGCAGAACTGGAATGGAAGACTTTCTGGTGAAGAACTTTTTTTTGCCTATTTCTAATGTTACACATACTGTATCACAGGGGAGTAAATGTCCCCAGAATGAGAGCGAAGATGGTTCCAGTTACATATGAAACACAGAGCAGGAGGAGAACAGCTAATGAATTAGCAATTAAAGCTTTATTGCAAATGAAACATTTCAGAGATTATGTTGAAATGCTCAGATAAATGTTTTTTATTTCAAAGTTGATTCCCTAATTATTTGCATAAAGGAAAAATGCAAAAATGCATACAGCCACCTTTCCTCCTCTAAAAGAATGGGAGTATACTATATATGCCTCTCTTTCAAGCTAACTTCTCCTACATCTGAAGAATGGAACATAGTTAATGGTGGTGAATATCTATAATCAGCATACATTTTGATGCCATAGGACATTTTCTTGTAATAGACAGATGACAGACAGAATGTCATCACCTGACAGCAAAGTTTTATCTTCTTTACACCAAGACTTGCAACAAGCCTACATGTTTTGTACCTGGATCATCTTCTTCAGCAAATGCCACAATGTGAATTCCATCTAGATCATCTTCCTACATGCAAAAAACATATTCTGATGAGTCCATCATTAATTGTGAAGTATATAATATCACCAAAACATACATACATCACAGACTGCTGTTATGTGGTTCCAAATTGACTTTACTAGAGAGACAGATAAACTTAGGAAGACAAGGTAGAAGTATTGGTTATGTTTATCCTGAAAATGAGAAATACTGTAGGGAGAGTTGGAAGGATCCTTTGAGGTCTTCTACCAGGGGACCAGGAGTGGATTGCTGCTGCTTCATACCAGTTCAGGCGAACTGGTTGTTAATTTTATGGCCAGTTCAGCAAACCGGCAAATCCCACCACTGGCTGGGCCCGTGCAGGACTGCCCAATCCTGCCCTGCCCCACCTAACCTCACCCCACCTCATAGATTTGCCCACTCCTCGCCTCATCTCCTTTGGCCACTCACATCTGGCTTCCTTGCTCACTTGCCAGCCTTTGCCAGCTCGTCCTGTGCGGCCCAGCTCCGGTTCCCTTGCTATTCTCCGGCTTCTTCACTCCCTAGTTTTAGGTAAGTTGATGTGGCCTGTGGGGTGAAGGGGTGGTGAGGCTCCGATGGCCGCCTTTCGGCCTTTTGGGCCAGGTCCAACTCTCAAGTTCCACGCACACCTGCTGCACGAGGCCCAGGTGATCAGCCACCTTTCAGCCTTTATGGGCCAGGCACAACTCTCGGGTTCTGCATATACCTGCTGCATAAGGCCTGGGGCCCAGGTGATCAGCTACCTTTCAACCTTTACTGGCCAGGTCCAACTCTCGGGTTCTGTGTGCTCTTGCCGCACAAGGCCCGAGGATTGGAGGGTACAGAGTCTCCGACAGCTGCCTTTCAGGCTTGCCGCACTTGGCCAGAGGCTCGGGGTGGGGAACGCAACAGGAGCGTACCTTGCTGGCAGCGCCATTTCCTCATTTGCAAACTGCAGTAGAGAGAAGTTCCTTTCTTGCTGGGTGCAGGTGCTTCCTTCAGTTCTCGTTGGTTCTGCACTTGCTTGCCTTGGTCACTCAAGGAGACACACAACTGAGACACTGGCCCAGCCTGGCTGCTTGTCTCCGCTGCTTCTGTTGCCACTTCCATGGGCTGCACAAGATGTTGCGAGAGCTGAGGACCAGCCGGTTTGTCGGCTTCGCGAGCGGCAGGGATTTGCGAAGCTGCGCGATCTCTGCCGCGCTAGCCGTTTTTGGGGCTCCGACCCAGACGGGTACGGAGCTAGGCTGCCCTGCAGGGGCAGCTGAAGGTAGGGGGGATCCAGAGAAGGGTTTGGGGGTGTTGCAGACTCCCTCCCTGGCCGGCAGAACTCCCTTTTCCCAGGACGGTGCAGCGGCGGTCTGTAATGGCCGCCACAAAGAAGCTGGCAGCCGGGTAAGAATGCGCAGGAGGAAGTGGAGAAAGTGATTGAGAGGAGAAAGTTTTTCTTGGCTCCTAGGACTCTAAGACATATTTAATAAAATTCCTGAAAAGTATGACTTTCTGAATAATACCTGCCAGAAGAGGAAAAAAGCGGCTGTTTGAAGGTGCTGAAAGGATAGCTTTCCCTCTTTTCCTACGGAATAAATAACTGGATATTAAGAAACCTATTTCTTTTAGGTGAAAATTGGTTTTAAGCGATGAGTGGGAAGAGAGAGGATTAAAAAGAAAATATTTGTATGCTAAGACTTTGTTGGAGCAGATGCCTTAAGGATTTGAAGACAAGAATATATTGCAATAAGATTTTAAACAGATTTGGACTTTCTTTCTCTTGGATTGATATTACCCCAGAAGGAGAAAGTGAGAACTCTGCCTTGGTTTGGACTGACTGATAACTTTGGGACTGTTTTATTTTTTTTATTTTCTTTTGAATATTCTGGTTGTTGTAAGAAGAAAGAAGGGGAAAAGAAAAGAAAAGATTTATAATGGCTCTTTCTGTTGAGGAACTAAGAAAAGAATATGAACAAGCAAAAAAAAATGGTAAAGATGGTGTGGAAGAAGCTTTCCTTTTCTTAGAAATGGCGCTTACTAATTATCAACAAACATTACAACAGATGAAGACAGCAGAGGAACAAGAAAGAAAGGAAGGAGCCATTTTTAATGAATCTCAGAATTTGATCCAGAAAGAAGGAAGAGAGAAAGAAAAGAAAAGAAGAGAAAAGAAGAAAACTAAAGGACTTAAGGACTTAAGATCTAAAAAAACATTTAAGAAAGGGAAAAATAAGGTGCAAAACCAATATGATGATAGTAAACAAAAGGGAAAAGGAATACGACAGAGAAGGGAAGCTGGTAAGGCAGAGGCTAGAAGAAGGGGGGGTAGAAAGGTTTGTTGGGAGAAGAAAGAAAGGGAAAAGGTGGAGAAAAGCTACAATGTTTTGAAATTAAATGAAAAAAAGAAATTTTTTATGGATAATGGATAAAGTATAATTTTTTTTAAAAAAAAAAAGATTTTGCAAGGTACATAAGATGAGATGGTAGTATTGTAATGATTTAAGAGTTGATAAGAGATTAAAATGTTAAAATGTTTAAAAATGATTGGCTTTAAAACTTAATAATAGGGGAGGTTTAGAATATTGTTTTAATTAAAGAGTTTAATAAGACTATGGTATTGATGTTATTATAAAATTTTTATTATAGTATCTTTTTTTAATATTTGGATTTATTGTCTAATTATGTACTTAATTATGTTGGATGTATTAGTTAGATAGAATGTACCAAGCAAAATCGGATTGGGTATTAGATATTATTTTAAAGATTAATTTGATTAACTTAGGGGGGAGATAGAAAGGCATCATACTCTGATTAATGATTTCAGGAGAAACTTATTTTCTTTTTTTTCATAAGGGATGAGACAAAGGGATGATAAAAAATGGACAAAAGATACAAATATAATGATTTAAACTAAGATGATTAATTAAGGTAGAATTAAGAAGTGTGAAATATGTGGAGAAGTTAATATAGAAGGCTTAGAATGGTAAATAAAATAAGTAATGATATGTAAGATGAGCATGAATATAATTGAAGTCCATGAAGAGAGAGACACCTGGGTCCAAGTTACTTTCCAAAAAGATTTTTTTTTATGTTTTGTGTGTTGTGTGTATATGTCTTTTTGGGGGGGAGAATTAGTTAAAACTTGTAGAAATATAGAATGAGAATAATGGTAACTAAGTCAGAAAGAAACAGATGAAATAATAATAATGATATTGAATAAGAGTAAAGAGAAGTAAAGAGAAATTGAATAAGAGGTTTTGGTATGTTGTATGGAAATGGTTTAAAATAGAATTATAATTTATCTGACTTGTTAAATTGACAATGAAAAAAGGTTTAAACATGTAATGAATAATGATAATTTGTGTGTTTTAAAAATTAATAAAACTTGTTTTAAAAAAAAATAAAAAATAAAAAGATGTTGCGAGAGCTCTCGCAACATCTTGTGTAGCCCAATACGAGCTCCACACAGTGACCGCTATTCACAGCCACTGGCAACAGCAGTGGTGGCAGCTGAGTTGTGCTTGGGGCAGAGAGCAGATTGTGCATTTCCCCAAACGAGGCTTGGCATTCTGATGCAAAAAAGGCCAGATTCCGGAAGTAGCATCCTGCTGTTTCCAGCTGCATTAGGCAGCGGCAGTTTCAGAAGAAGAGAGAAGCAACCAGATTCCTTATAGGTATGTGAAGATCAGTTCAGCCTTATTATTTTTATTTCTAAGAATGCCTAGCTTATTCAAACCCAGATATTTTTTAATGAATTTTTCCTTAAGCCAACAATTAAGCAGCTTAAGTCAACAATTAAAAAAAATAGATTTTTTTTTAAAAAACTGATATTATAACTGTAGTTTTTGAAATCTATTTTGACTTGATCAAGCAATTTTTTAAAAACAGGCAGGGTTATTGTTTTTTAAATTCCTTCATCAAGTCAAAATAGATTTTAGAAACTACAGTTACTATATCAGTTTGAATTTTCTTTTAATTTTTCTATTTCTTTAATTGTTGACTTAAGTTGTTTTATTGTTGGCTTAAGAAAAAAAAAACATTGAAAAAGTCTGGATTTGAATAAGATGCAAAGTAAGTTGCTCCCTAGCACTAATTTCAGTGACCCCTTACAGAACGCCTGCAACATCCATTTTTAAAAATGGTTTAAGCATGGAATTCCATGCAGGACAAAGCTGCTATTATGAGTGTAAAAAAGGCCTTTGCAAAAGTATTTAAAAGTAACTTTATGGTAACTTTGCAAGAACAAAAGGCTGGGCTCAGTCCTTGATGGCCCATTAGCAAAGATGGGAGGAAACTCAGCTCTGCCTCCATGTTATATTTCTCTTTTAGGGGAAATATTCTGCCTTTATAATATTTTCTAAAATATTTCATTTTTCTAGGAGAGGGGAGGGTGCTAACTTCCAACACTACCATAATGGACTTTTAAATACTTTGAAAAGGCTCATGTTACACTCAAAATGGCAGCTTTGTCCTGCTTGAAATTCCATGCTTAAACCATTCTTAAAAACTGATGTTTTTTTTTAAAAAAAGAAAGCCTGCAACATGGCAAAGAAGCAGCAGCTGGGACTCACCACCCTGTTCTTTGCGCCAGGATGCACCCCATTGCCTGCTGCGCCGGAGCGGAAGAAATAATAAACAACTTTTTGGTACATACCTTTTTTTAGGTAAATTAGGGCAAAGTAGCAACGTCGAGTTGGCCACGCCCACCCAGGCACACGCTCACCCACCCAGGCTCACTCAGGCACATGACCACCCAGCCAGTCATTAGGGCAGAGAACTTGTTAAAAAAATTGTAGCCCACCCCTGAAGGGACCCTTTACCATAATAGATAAATGGTTGTCCAATCTCTTCTTAAATATCTCCAGTGAAGGAACACCACAACCTAAGTTCTGGAAGCAAACCATTCCATTGTTTTCACCGTCAAGAAATTTCTTTTTAATTCTAGGTTGGATCTCCCTTCAATATTTTCCATTACTTACTTTTGTTTTTTCTTGCTCTGCCCTCAGGTGCCTTGAAAAATAAGTTGACCCCCAATT